AACTTTTTATAAATTAATTTAGGATTCAGCTTAACAAGATTTGAAAAATGATCTTGTTCAGATGAACTAAATTATTTATAATGCAGAGTACAGTCAACTTGTAAGAAGAATTTTACATACGTTTTCTCCGTAGGGCCAGGATTCAGTGACCTAGGAAATACTCCTCAGAAAACATTGTCAGATTGTTTAATGTGGGACATTAAATGCATCACTCTACAACTAGCTGAAAAGACATTGTTCTCCCAGGCAATCAGTGACAGTTTGAGAGGAAATGGCCTCAAGCTGCACCAGGGAAGGTTCAGGCTGGGTATCTGGAAGAATTTTTTCACTGAAAGGGCAGTTAAGCACTGGTATGGGCTGCCCAGGAAGGTGGTGGAGTCATCATCTCTGGAAGTGTTCAAGAGATGACTGGATGTGGCACTTAGTGCGTAGTTTAGTTGGCATGGTGGTGTTTAGTCAAAGACTGAACTCAATGATATTGGAGCTCATTTCTAACCTTATTGATTCTATGATTTGCATAATAAATTAATCCAAATTGATGGTGGCCTTACAGAAGAGGAGAGAGGATTTCTTTGGCCTCTCATTTCTAGGAAAGTAGGAAACTGAAGGTGCCAGAGTTGATGCCAAAATAATTTTATTTCTCAACACAGGGCACACTAGACTTTGACTTTTGGACTCAGAAAGTGAGAATTGTGTGGTACATGGCAGCACACAGGGAGTTCAGAAGGATCATAATTATGTCCAGATCTTGGTTATCATTTAATGCAGATCATAAATTATGTCCAGTTCTTGGTTACCGTTTAGCAAGTGTATCCTGAAGTACTCAACAAGTCTCTACAAAGGGTTATCCATATGGCTCCCATAAAAGAACATGGGTATTTTTTTCTTAGTGAGTTAATAGATGTTAGAGTGATCAGTAGATAAATATATATTAGCAGATAAATAATTTATTCTGTTTAAAGAAAAAAGCCCCAAAGCATGCTTTAAAAGCATGTTGGCTGTCTTTGTAGCCACAAAGTGGCATTTCTTCATTGAGGCAGCTGGAAGACTGACAGAGTCAGCTGGAGTGCAGATACTTGTTTGAACTAAGCACATGATCCCACTTTATTTGCTGTCTCATAGCATTAAAACCATCTGATTGTGTTCTGCACTGAAGGAAATGTGACTTGCTGACACAAATAAAGTTTTACTTCAGAACAAAGCAGATCGGTTCTGATCAGATTCTCACATGGTCGCACTTCTAGATACTGACATCACAGATTTATATGCACAAGTCTAGTCAAGACAGTGAGCTCATGTTCAAAACCTGAAAAAAAACCCAATTGAAGCCAGGGCCATTATTTGCTTTTAGTCACTGAAAATTTGGCTACCTCAGGATGAGAGCCTTAACTTTATAGCACTGATGTCTATGAAAATCTCTTTACCTGCTTCATGTTTATGCTGGAGGACGGTTATCAGTATCATGCATTCTACTGAATCAGCTTCAGAATATTAAGAAATATTAAGGTGACTCTAGATAGTCTTTCAAATATGCTACCAACATAATTCCTATACTAACAACTGCCGGGGATTAAATCCAGTAATATTTAGTATTACTGTGTTTTAAGACTATATTGCAGGAAATGAATCTATTTCCTGATCCTGGACTTTACCAGGTAGTGGACTATTTGCATTTCCTTTTGCCTCCCCATTTGCTCTGGCTTGTACTGTTTTCTGATAGCTGCCTCCAGAAAAGAGATGTTTGCACACACAGTCCAAGCCTGTACTGGCTTTTAAATTCTATTACATTGTATTTAGTGAAAGGAGCTTCTGCAAAATCTTTCTCAGCATTGCAGCTTCCCAGTCAAACCTCTGCTGTAATAAATTTTCTGCATGTTCTTACAAAAACAAATTTAACTTAGAACATACCATAGAAATTGTCTCCCCAGTTTACAGGTTTTGGGATAATTGCAAACTCTTCTTAAACTTTTCCTATGCACATTTATTTAGTGAAGAAACAAATAAAAATGTCATATTTCTGAAGAAGGGATAGTTTCAATACTGGTTTTACTGATGAGACAGTGACAGACTCCTACAAGTGATGCTGCTCTAGTCAAGGATTTTTAAAATCATTATAGCTACAGTCTCAGTTGTAGTCCTACAGACTTAGCCTTATATAACCTATAAATGTAGCCATAATTGTACAGTCTTTTATAACAAAGCATCTGATGACACAGAGCTGGCACTCACCATCTCATCAACTATGAAAATACAAGGGGAAAAAGGGATACATTTCACAAATCACATCCCTGGATCTCGGAAGCACTCCACAAAGAAATTTGTCCCAGATCCAAAATTATTCAGTATCGTTATCAATGGACTGGATTACAGAACATGCTTATTAAATACAATATGCAGGCAACACTAAGCTGGGAAAGACTGGGTTGGAATTCAAAACTTTGCAAATTTGTGAAAAAAGCAGCATACAATTCTGAAAATGAAAGCACAAATTTCTCTGGTAACACTAACTGCAAGTCAGAGAATGATAAAATGGTGCTAGAAATGGCAGGAAAAGTTCCAGTAGCTGTGACAACCCACAAGCCAGCAATGAGTCAGAGTTATCAATCTACTGCCCTTAGTGGGGTGTATAAATAGAACCAACCCTTCTCTCTAAAGAACGTGAAATGAACTTTTTATGGCACTGCCAGTGCTACAGCTGAGCGCTGTGGGGAGTTTTGCATGGGATCCACATGGAGAAACCAGGGACAGATGAACAGTGCTCTAGGGAACATGGCCACTGAGGAAGAGGTGATTGATTGACAGGTAAGTCTATCCAAAACACTGCTCCCCACACTGGAGATGAGAGCCATCCTGCTGGGACACACTGGCCGGCCTGGATCTCCTACTGAGCATGCAGGTGCTGGTAGAGCCTGGGTGGAGTCAGCACAACACAGCAAAGGAGCGAATGCTAACTGGTGATGATGGGAAAGGGGGGCTGTGTGTGCGCACAGGAGAAAGCATCAGCAGCAAAGCCTATTCCAAACTGAGGTGAGGACCTATTCAGAGCAGTAGGAAAAAGAGTGATATCCCTGAGAATAAGCATACACCAGCAGATGCCCTTCATCATCAGAGGTTTTAAAATGTAGTTTTCATAGTTTGAGGCTCCCTTAGAGCTAGAAGGACAGGTGGGCACACATTTCAACAGATCTTTTATTTGCTATTATTCTCTTCAATACTACCCTGCAAGTTTAGTAGTGTGCTTTTTGGCTATGTTATGGATTGTTACAAAGGCTTCAAACTGCTAGTGTGGATCTAGGCAGCACTTCAAAAGAACCAGTGCCCATTTTAATACATTGCAGCTCATTATTAGCTTTCATTTTTGTTCTAAGAGACAGATTTCACACTACGTGACAGTACTAACAAAGCAAAATGTTCCTCTTTCTCCACAGATAAATTTAGGAGACACATATGCTTCATAAAAGCTCCAGATATTCACTGGTAGCACTCAAGAGCTTTGTAATTTGATTCAAAGAGGCAAGCCTAATCTACAACAGCTATTGTAGTTTGTAATGGCCAAATCCTCATTCATCAGTTTGGGACTACACTTTGTCCCTCAAAACCCATTACAATTTTATTCATTGTTCAAATACCTTCTGCTTTTCCCTTTTTAAAATTGTAATAATAATAATAACTAGTGTTCCCTAATGGTGGTTTGTTCATTGCTCTTTGACTATGCACAAAAATCCTTATTTATGTCAGGAGTGCCAAGTTCCACGTGATTTGACACAAACTGGAAAACTTAGGTGTAGCAAGCTTTGCTACATATAGCATGCTGTATTGAATTCCCTGACTGTTGAATTCAACCTCATAATTTCATAGTTATAAGCCCTCTTCGAAGCTCAAGAAGTGGGCCCATGCAAATCTCATATGGTTTAATAAAGGTTTAACAAGCTGCACCACTTGGGTCCAGGCAACCCCTGGTATCAACACAGGCTGGGAATGAACAGACCAAGAGCAGCCATGCCCAGAAGGATTTGTGGGATTCTGGTGGGTGAGAGGCTGGACATGACCCAGCAATGTGCACTTGGATCCCAGAGAGCCAATTGTATCCTGGGCTCCATCCAAAGCAGAGTGGCCAGCAGGATGAGGGATTCTGTCCCTCTGCCCTGGTGAGACCCCACCTGCAGTGCTGCATCCAGTTCTGGGGTCCCAGCACAGGAAGGACACAGACCTGCTGGAATGAATCCAGAAGAGGCCACCAAGATGATGAAAGGTCCTGTGAGGAAAGGCTGAGAGAATTGGAATTGTTCATCTGGAAAAGAGAAGACCTAACTGCAACTTGCCACTACCCGAAGGTAACCTATAAGAAAAATGGAGAGAGACTTTTTACAGGGGCATGTGGTGACAGGACAAGGAAGAGCAGCTTTATCTAGAAGAGGGTAAGTTCAGATTAGGTGTAAATTCTTTACTGTGAGGATGGTGAGGCACTGGAACAGATTGGAGTTCTGGATGCCCCATCCTTGGATGTGTTCAAGGCCAGGTTGGATGGGGCTTTGAGCAGCCTGGTGTAGTGGAAGGTGTCCCTGCCCATGGCAGAAGGGTTGGAACTAAATGATCCTGAAGGCCCCTTCTAACCCAAACCATTCTCTGACACCTACACAGAGTTCCAAAAGGCCTTTATGAACATACCACTTACAGCTTATGGCAAAGTTTTGTTTCTTTTTGTTCTGAGAGGATTTGGTGCAGCATTTCCCATACGACTCCTTCCTTTACATACTTTCTGCACAAAACCACTACAGACCACCCCAAGTTCTACATCACCCCATCAGGCAGATGAAATCCGTCATGCCAGGCATTTGCTTCCTCCAGCTGTTCTTCCACCTTTCTTTGGAAGCTGTGATTTCTGGTACAGTAACAGCTCAGTTTACTATTTTTAACACCCCCTAGGACTGAACATTACCTGCAGCATGCAAGAGCAGCGTTACATTTCTCTTCAGTGAGATAGGGAAAAAAGACATACATACATTTATACATATTTATTGTATCTTTTTAAAAGTAGCATTTGCAGTTACTTTTAAGCATTCACCTCTCTTCTGCTTCAAATGTGCACTTACTGAGAGAAACATCTACTGGCTTCCAAGTCCAAGATTAATACCAATAATAATACATGCCAGAATCAAGCTTCACTGCTTGTTGGCAGCTCCTGTCATCAAAACAGTATACAGTAAGAAGAGTGTAGAAAAGGTCTGTGTTAATCATTCAACAATAGGCTGGGGCTGCATTAGAGTGACCACAACATCTTCTCCAGTTGAAGCACAACAATTTTCCTGAAGTTCACATTTAAATTTTTTTCTTTTGCATTGAGTGGGTGGACAAGGCAGTTGTTTTTTCTACAGTAGCTTCATAAGTTGATAACGTAATTAAGCTATCAGACAGCGTCCAAGGGAGGGTCACAAGGTGAAGGGTCTGGAGGGGAAGCCTTATGAGGGGCTGAGGTCACTTGGTTTGTTCAGCTTGGAGAAGAGGAAACTGAGGAGAGACCTCATTGTGGTCTTCAACATCCTCACGAGGGGAAGCAGAAGGGCAGGTACCAATCTCTTCACTCTCGTGACCAGTGAGAGGACTTGAGGAAACAGCGTGAAGCTGAGTCAGAGGTTTAGGATAGGTATCAGGAAAAAGTTTTTCACCCAGAGGGTGGTTGGGCACTGGAACAGGCTCCCCAGGGAAGTGGTAACAGCACCAGCCTGACAGAGTTCCAGAAGCGTTTGGACAATGCTCTCAGGCACAGGGTGTGACTCTTGGGGTGTCATGCCCAGGGCCAGGAGTTGGACTCGGTGATCCTGATGGTTCCCTTCCAACTCAGCATATTCTACAATTCATCTACAGGAAAACACTTGCTGTAGACCTTTATATTTAGAAATGTCTTCTCTTCATGTAACAACAAGAAAATACTTCAAGTCTGGCATGTAGTTAAGAGAACTGGGAACAAACCAAATTTCATCCTCAGATAAACATACGTAACTACTATAGATTTCAATCTAGCCCAAGCACAAAGTTTTACACATACTACAAACAGAAACAGAAGGTATCAGCAAAAGACTATTCTTACATTGTTTCAAATTAATTTGCAACTATACAATTTTAATTGTAATATAAAAAGGGAAGGAATATAACAGAACAGGTATGAAGAGAAATATTTTCCAAACTTTTATTTGTGCACATTCATCAGGTGAAAAAGATAACTTTTACAGCTTCTTTGGTGCCCAATATTCAGCATACAAAAATGTAAAAGACTATTCACAAATAAAACACAAGCTCAAGCTAAAAAAAAATGTCTTAAAGGTAGTGCACATCGTGACAGCTTTGCTTATGAATACACAGAAATTACTGCAAAAATAAATAGAATGTCTTTTTAAAAGCAGCAATTTCATATCTTGTAAACTTCTGTTTTTACAATACAGCACTGTTAAGAGGAAAATCCAAAAGAACTGGAGTCTAAACTGTGGCCATGAGCAAGTAAAAGAGTCTGTATTCCTCTGCTATGGTTGGTCCAGTTTTCCTTTTTGCTTTTAGTCCAATGTGCAGCAGTCTTTGAAGGTGCTCGGTTAGGGAACCTAACCATCAAGTGGTGAATTACAAAATTTATTTCCTGCTTTCAAACACGAATGGATAAATCTGTTCCACAGCACTGGCAACAGCCTTTACGTTTGGCCCTAAGACACAGTTTAAAAAAAAAAAAGGCAGTAGGAAGAGAAAATTCAGGGAATCAGAAATTAAAATAACAACAGTACCTTTAAAAAAACCTTAATATTATTAGCAATCACAACTTCATACCACAGACAATAACAAGTTTTCCCCCATTTCTCCTAACTTAACAAACTTTCTCTGATCACTTTTCATGTGAAAGTCTTTTCTTGTAAATCTGCAAGATGCTCTACATTTGTCAATGGACAGATTACGATTAAATAATACTGTCATTTAATTTCATAACAGCTTGGCTGATTTTCAATTTATTGGCTTAAACAGCCCAGAGAAGAGGCTGAGTGGCAGAGGTAAAATTAGTTCTTTTACTTATGTCAATCTTCTAGGAATTTGTATTTCTTCAAGCCTAGCCACTTATCGCTCTTGCTTTAAAAACCTACCAACAAAAGCTACTGTTAAATAATGCTGGATTTAGCTGAAGTACATTTCAAGCAAGGTTATTATAGGTTTGAAAATTACAGACTATTACTTTCTATCCCGGGTTTTGCAAATAGCTTCATCACTGATCTGAGGACAAAACCTGCAAGCCAGGGAAGGGTTTTATCATCTCAGGATGAAGCATATGAATGTTATCTAACATGATATGATCTGTCAGTATCCAGGCAAAGAAAAGGAAAAATGACCTAGCAATGCTTACTGGTGGTATCAGACCACACAATGAAAAATTAAGATTGCAAATAAGTGAGCATGCTGGAGGATATCTGGATAGAAGCTTGGTGACGCAGGTAAAAGAGAACAGCAATTTCTCACATGCTTTGATGAGTAGGAACGCAGGGTTTCTGTAACCCCACTTTAGACTTCAAAAGCTTTTTCCAAGTATAGAGAACTCTTCAAAATTACTCCCAAAAACAATAACTTAAGTATAAGATACTTAAGTAATTATTGTTTTATGTGCTCAGTCAGAAAGCAAATGGACAAGAATAGGATTCTTCCTATATTTTCAAACTGGTTGAGTGAAGCACCCAGATAAAACAAGCCTAGTGAAAGATACCTGTCTTCTGGGTAGATACTGCACCCTCCTTAAATTTGGCTGCTATTAGAAAGTTGTCAGGAAAGGAGAAGCCTTCAAATAGTGAGATTTTGAGTAGGCAAATAGTTCCAGCAAAAAAAAATGCTACTCCCTCTAAGGCTGAAGAGATGTAAAAATGGGATCATCATTCCAGGGCATATAAGAGAAGGAAAGAACAAAACAAAACAACAAATCCCCCTTAACAACCCCCTCATTTTTCATTTTGGAGTCAAAGAAACAATACTTCTTTCTGTTACACGCTAGTGATTTTTATTATCTTTTACGAAAGTAACAAAATCTTTTTATACTTGTCTCATGAAAAGAACTCACCTTCCAGGGTTTTTTGTAACCTTTCTAATTATGTATCTCAAAATTCAGAGGCAAGTATTATAAGTACCAGTACTACAGAAACATGAATCTTTAAAGGAAACTTCATCTGAACACATTTGAGAAGGAGTGCACTACGGCTGAAAAGTAATTTAAATAATTTTTAGAATAAGAAGCATAAGACTCAGGACATTTTTTCCTCTAGAAGAGAGGCAAAGCAGAAGCCTAGAAAAATCAACAGAGGTCTGAGTTAATTTTTCAAGCTCACTGCAACAACTAAACTAGAAGGATATGAAACTCCTATGTTTACCATACTTGCCTTCCTATTTGAAAGGAAAATTCTAAAAATATGGAAGTGATTTTGTAAGCAATGAAGTAATAAGAATCTTAGAGAGAAGCTGAATCTCATTAGGAGTCTGACAAGACATGCTGAGAGCTTTTTATTACTGCAGTGATACTGCTTCTTATTTATTTTAAATTTAGTTTCTAGTTTTGGCTAGACCAGTTGCACTCTTCCAAACATACTCTGCAATCTTGAAATACTTTTTAGCCCTTCATTTTTAGATTACTGAATCTGATGGAAGTTTGTCTTCTTTAGAAAACACTGCTTCCAATATCTTGTGGGAAATGATCTGCATAAACACATGCATTTGAATTAAGATGTAAAAAGAAATCTTTATCCACCTTCTGAACCAGTAGCTGAGCTCTAACAACTGCAAGACACAATTCCTGCTAAATTGATACAAAATGATTTTTTTGGTTGTATAGCATTTTAACATGTATGCTCTGAAAAACTGACTTCTTGTATCTGGACACTGGTGGTGGACATCTCACAAGCAAACAGAAAAGAGAATGAAAAATGAAAATGATGAAGAGAGAAGAAAAAAATGAGTGGCTTCTCCAAGACCCAGGAAAACCATGTCTCTGATTACATGGGAAAAATCACTAATGCCTGTGATTCAATGGTGGTTCTCAGCTGAGCTTTAACAGAAGAGAGCACAAGTCTGAAGAACTGTAAATATTGGTCAGCTTCATTTATGTTATACTATACAAAATGCTATACTATCCTATGAATTTCCATAAATCTGCAGCTTGGAAATAGGTATTTATGAAAGGGATGTTAATACTAAATGCAGTGCAGTTAACATCTCTGCAAACAGAAGAAAAACGTAAGAAAATTCAAATAGTTAAATAAACAATAATTATCTGCATTCTTAAGTGCTACCTTACTTTTGGATTCATTAAAAAAACCAGACTGTGTACATTCAGTCTAACTAATTTTTTGAACCTACCAATAATAATACTTGCTTTACAACTCTTCTGGCACTTTTGCTCAAAAACAAACTAGGTGCTAGCACGGGGAAACGAAATCCTTTCAACATAACTGTTTGACTGTTTTAAAAATTTTGCTTTCCCAAACCTACTGGCTCTGAAGTTAAATATTCCCAACAAGTTAAATATTTATTTTTTGACATTAAAATACCTGTAACTGTGATACTGCCTGTGGAAAAAATCTGTAAGGTAGCTCTGAGAGATTTTATTCTGTAACACACGGCAGGATGAAGTTCTGGTTCATAACTAGAAAACAAAATGAAAAGTAAAAAAGACAGATCTAGAACTGAAAAATAAAAGCTTAAGAAGTATTCCAGGACTAAAATTCTTTAAAATCCTACATACCTCGCATGAGGTCTGTTATTCTTCGTAAATTCTGGCAATCTTATCTCAAAGGGCATGTTGCACACTGCTAAAACATTCACAACTTTAAAATCTGTGAAAATTACCTTTTCAAAAGAGATGGGAAAAGAGGACATTAGAAATTTACAGCAAGTCAGATGCATGGGTTGCAAAAAAAAAAAAAAGACAAGGCTACCATGAATATTTTGATGAGTCAAGTTAGAATCTTGAGACTGATGCTCTTCTAACAGGCATCTAAAGAGTACTTAATGGACTCAGAACATTTACATTATCCTTCTGTGGTGGAGTATCTGCTGAACTAGATACCTCACAGTTGTATCATGGTCACTACAGCAGTATGGTTATAGTACAGTTTAAGGATGAGACACAGAAACAATGCAAACTGTTGTACTAAACACCTCCCCACTGAAAACAAACTAAATTTAACAGCTCATGGAGCATCAAAGTAAGCAGAGAAAAAGCTTAAATATTGTTGCAAACTTCTTTAATGCCTTGTTGCTATATACCATTTGTTTTAAAGCTAAGAATAAAAAAAAAGGTGACAACTGTTTTGCTTTAAATGTCCAGCAGCCAGTAGAGGAAACTGGTTTTCTACTCTGTAACTTTCTGAAACCCAACTCAAACTATTTGAATAACTTTCAGTTATTCTCTACCACAGACACTTTCAATGACAACAAAACAGCCAACAGATAAATGCTATACAAAGAAACCACACTTCTGAAAGGTCAGTGTTGGCAATGTCACTGGGAAAACTTTTGTTCATTTTCTGAGGTTGCCTGAACTTTAAATGGCCATTCTTTTTCAATCTACACTTCTCAGAAAGATATTAGAAAGATAGTTGGAAAGACAGCTAGAAAGAAGCAACTCAGCCTTAAATCACCTTTATCTTCAAAATACAAACTGCTCACTTTATGAGAAAACTTGGTGTGTCCACACTGGAAGTATTGTGCACCTCACTGACTTAACATTCCATTCCAACTTTAAAGGGCTGGGTTCAAAGTACACATTTGTGACAGCAGGAGTGTCACACTTTTGCTGGGGTCTGATGCAGCATTACCAGCATAGGCTGGCACCACTACCTTTATGTAGTATAATCAAAAGTAGTCTTTCCCTGAAAATGACAGCTACTGTGTCTATTTCATTGTCTGTCCCTAAATTGAACCTGTGTGTAAACAGCACAACAGACTATCAGGAAGTTTTAGAGCACCAAATCATGTAATTTTAAGTGGTTCATGTTGCTGTTTTTCAATCCTTACCATGAAATGCAAGTGGTGTTTCTGACTGGTAATGTTAACCCAAACCCAGATAAAAGAGGGTGTTTCCTGTCCTAAGTATTTTATTTGGCATATTTCCAGCTGTGCAGCATGACAGTGCAGGAGCACTTTTCTCTTCAATTTAAGAAGCTCAAACTTGCCCTTATTCGGATGTAAATGTATTTGCTATTCGATTAGAAATGAGTGAAAATTATGCTCAAGTTACAGTAAAGTTTCAGCATTTTCCAAATAAATCTTTTGAGATATTGTAAATTCTATCTAAGACACATCTGTTCATACATTAAACTAATTTTGTTGTTCATTATCCAGTGAAGAAGCACTGCTCTGAGCTGCCAAACAAAACTCAAATCCACAAAGCAAAACAGCTTCTCTTTAACCAGCATCTGGAAAATGTATTCCTACACAAAAGGGCCATTTGAGTGAAAACACGTTAACTGCTAAATCATTATGCTCCCTCTTCTTTGTTTCTTTCTAAAAAATAAACTGCTAGCATTGCTTGAGTCATGCAAGTCCTTTTCAATCAGAATTACCTGAAAACCTAGTTTCTGTAGACTACGAGCTAGTCGTCTGGCACCGAATTTAGCTTCTTCTTCACTATAAAGGAGAAAGAAAAGGACCTAGCATTAACAGAAATAGAGTATATAGTTGTGCACACACACACACACCACAATAGCTACTCAGACTACAAAACGAACCATTATATAATGTAGTACATCAACCATGATCTCATGGACAGCCTTCACTTCATCCTACTGTAAGTATTACATTTTAACTAGACAGACATTCCAATGGAGTCCTTCATGCCCTATTTGCAGAATATCTTGACACTTGGCTCAAGCTGAAGTGAGAGACATGTTTTAATCATACATGATTTTCAGTACCCTTAAAAGATAAATACGATCATGGGTAGTCTGGAGTTAACATCCGGAACAATCCTCTTTAATTTTGGAACAGAGATCAGACACAGAAAGTATGCAAATTTACTAATTTACCTTACCTTATCCTCACTTCAAAATGCAGACATATCTTAAAGTAATTCAGCTCTTAAGAGTTTAGTGAGTGTGAGATGTCTCTGAACTGAGAGTCTGCTTTTGCTTCTTTCCAGTTCCTCAACACTGTAAAACTTGATTAAATTCAGGTGGGGTTTTGTGAAAAAATAAAGAGAGATCCTCAGGAAAGGTCATCCCTTGATTAAATTCAGGTGGGGTTTTGTGAAAAAATAGAGATATCCTCAGGAAAGGTCATCCTTTCCCAAGTCTCAACTTCTAGCTAAACACACAGAATTCTTAAAGGCTTCTCAAATCTCTTTAGGATTTTCTTAACAAGGCAGTTTTCCTTTCTGCTCTCATAAGAAGGCTAAACTGATGTTGTTTAAGATTTGAACACTGTCTCACACAAAACCTTCACACAGAAAACTTCCTTCCAAATACGTGGTTGACAAGGATCTACATGTGATCCAGTGTGGGCCAATTTAAGCAGCAGTAAGTACTACCTCTTCTTCATTTACAATGTTGTATTTTAAAATACATAAGGATTTAGAGCTAGAGAAAGAATCTTCATGAACTCACCTTGTGGCTCCTGTGCAAATAACTTTTCCTGAGGACCAAATTGTGGCCGTAATCCTAGGTTTCCTAAGTTTCATTAAAACCTTCTAAAAAAGAAAAATGGAAAAATTGGTCATTAGCAGTAATTAAATTTCACACTAAAAAAAAAAAATTGCTTGTTACCCAAATCAACTAAAGTTACACTAAAACTCCCTTTAGTTTTGATAGGATTGAACTGCTCCTTCATCTCTTTCACTAATTAAAAAATCCAGCTCTTGAGAAGAGCAAAATAAGCATGAAATAGCCAATGATTCAGTGTACACAAAATACATGAAGGTATTTTTCACTGAATAAAAAGCTGAAAACTACAAGCACCATGCTGATTTTTTTTCTTATTACAGTGATTTGACATTGCTGACTCTGTATTAAGATATATTTTCTTGACAAAGCCATCAAATTTTGGGAGGCAAAACAGACCCTGAGTATAAGAAGCCTCATCACATACCTTGTACCAAATATTCACCTCACCAAGTGCTGTCTCCTGAGACAGCATTTCATCACTCCCATTTCTGTACAAGTAATGTATTGTAAATACATTAATAAATACCTACAGCAAGAGAAATAGAGAAAGAAAATTCTGCTTTTCTCTATCCATCATTCACAGGTATTAAGCAGAAGAATGTTTAGCTTAAGGAACATTTCTAAAAACAGATTAATTGAGGTATGCTGAATCTCTTACCCCAACATCACGCTTGTATATCACATTTGCTCCCTCTAATGCAATCTTCCTCAAGTTTAAATGACATCTTGTTCTAAAAACACACACTACATTTGTGATTAAAATGTCCAGTGCAACATCACTGTCCGCATCCATTGGGGTGATTTATAACTCAATTTTCCCACCAGCTCACCACGAAGATCACATCCTGAGAAGCAAAAATTATAAAATTAAACATACCAATAGATAATTGCCTGTTAATGCCATTGTATACATTTGCCCCTTAAAAGATACAAGAAGCAGAGTCACTACACTCTGACTCATTTAACAATGTGAGGGGAGGGGGAGGTCTGTATCCTTTGTGCTAGAAAATAGGACGTAACTTGTTCAAAGCCATGTTGCCAGACTTAAGAGAAATGAAGTGCATATACACACACATATACAAGAGTTTTTTAAATTGCCAGTTAAATAGGTTACAATTCTTACTAAGTATATTAAGACACTGTAAAGATTACTGAAACTTCTTCCATAGCTCCAGTGGATAATCTTTCCTCAGCTCGTTTGAGGATGTCATTAGACACCTCAGGAAAATACACTTCTCTGACTGCTGAAGTTGATAATTCTGAACAGTCTGACATTTGTGTTGGAATGGATAAGCCTATGAGTAACTTTGAACTAACACCGGTTACACAAACTGCAGTCTGTAGACAGCTTGCTACCACAGCTTTCCTATCTTCATCCAGCACTCTTGGCCTGTCTGTCCCAATAATAGCTCAAAGCAAACTACACAAAATGTCCTGGTAGCAGTAGCCTGGCTGACTGCACTGCCCACAGGAAGGCATTGCACAGGCAGAGTGAGATGGAATGTTCCTGAGGAAAAGCATGGCTAACTGTGAAGGCACAGGATTTGCATGCACTGCAAATCTACGGCACCCAGGAAGCATCCAGGCTGCCCATGCTCATCAGAGGTGACACTCCTCACACACACCTCAGCTGGGAAAGAGAATCCTAACACCAGCAGCTGGGCTACCACTCATCCCAGCCCAAGAACACCCGACATCTCTTCTGTAACCATACCAAGCCAAGACAGCAGGCATCTCAAATAGAGCTCAGGCGAAGAAATGAGAGGGGACAAGAGCAAGATCATTGGTATAAAGTGGAAAGGACTTTATATAAATATTTTAGCAGTATTTCATCCAAAATAAAGGAGAGTAAAGAGAAAAAAACAAAGAAAAACTGTCACATATGTGAAATGCTCTACATGGTCATTGCCATGGAAGAAGCAGGACACTGTGCATCAAGAACAGTAACATACCTAACAGACTATGATGTATTTATATCACTTTGAATATTTTACCCTTATGTTCTAGATTAAAAATCTTCAAGACACAACATTAATGCTATTATCAGTATTTTCATCTGACTATGCCTTCCTAAACATCATGACATAGTAGGTAATGGAGACCTCAAGGTGCATCTTTTGACTAGGACTCACTGACAACACAGAAGTAACAAACTACCCAGCAGATGTGCTCATGTACTGCGTCTGCTGCTGTGGTCGTTACTGCTTACACTCTGCAGCTTGTTCCCTGCTGAAAGAATTATTCTGTAATTGTTGGCTTGTCCAATATAAGAAAAGGCAAGATGGATGATAATACAGAGGAGATGAAGAAACAGCAAGAGGAAAACATAAAAACCAAAGGTTATGTGTGGGGGTGGAGGGAATGCAGGCAAAGAAGAGAACAAACAGTAACTAATTAGTACTCCCTGATCCCTTTTTAAATCTTTTTTATTGAATCAAAAATTACATGAATCCTCAAAGTTAGAAATTACTTATCCCATCTGGTTTTGATGGACTACTACAGATTGGGAAAGTAATTTATGGCACCAGATCCAAAGATAGCACATGTGCAGATTTTGAATGGCATGCAGGCAGGGCCAGCACGGAGCTGGAACCCATGGCATCTTCAGAGAGGCATTTGTTTTCCACCCTGGCTCCAACTCCTTGCTCATACTGGAATCCAGGAAAGATTGTCAACAAGTCACCTCCAGTCAGCAGTATCTCCCAATTATCAGCAAGCATTTGCTGGCACACTCAGCCTCTACATTCTGGAAGAACATCAGTGTCGAGCATAACACCATCGAAAGGTTGCTAACATCTAAGCAAACCATAGTATTGTATGATAATGTCCCCATAAAACATGGCTTATCTTAAAAAGATCCAGGGAGAAAAGTCACATGCTCATTCAGAACAAAGACAAAAGTGGTTGAAAAGAGAGGAAAATTACAATTTAAAAGGAAAAGATCTATTATTAAGGCAAAAAGGCGGCTGTGGAGCTGTCAGTAAGGATGTTTCCAGCAATTACAACGTATCTTGGTTAGAAGTACAATCTACTTGCATAGATATTAAGAGAAGAAAAATTACACAGATTACAGTGGTGTGCCTCCATTTTAATTAGCCATGTTCTGAAAGCTCAAGACAACAGATACTAAGGGAGGGGCTTTTTAATTCGAAATTGTATATATTATGTCAATGATTGTGAACACACCCATTCCTATTAAACATACAAATAAAATGTTTGAACTCTTCCAAGGCATGGTTTGGAAAGACTGGATAAATCAAAATGTTTCGAGGCTTGGATACTTGTGATCAAGCAGTAAGCAAGTGTTAACATATCACAATCTTTGATTTAAGAATTCATATTAATGTCTCACACCTTACTTACAACAAAGGAAAAAACAATCTACAGAGACGATGTCCTGTTACCTTTCTTTTGGAAGCCTTGAATAACTTCAAATTCAGAAGAACCACGAGAACAAAAGCAACTAAAACTTTCTTAAAAAATAAAAATACATGGACTACATAAAAAAATATCATCTGAAGAACATATTTGCAAAAAAGGTCTAACAATGTCCAAGAAAGAATGATGTTGCTCTTATTTACGCATATCTCCAGCAAGCATGACCAGCTGGAACATTCTGATCCTCCTCTTTCCCAGCTGTCTCTTGTATTCTTTGCTCTTCATACACACTACCGTAGCACTGACTGTTATTTCCCAAAACCTGAATTTCTGCATTTCCATATCTTTTCTGCAAAATGGGGAAAACAGTGCTCCTTACTTATAAGCCTATTTATATTCCATACTTATGCAGTTACACTTGCAGAACAGAGAGGTTGAATAGAAACCAAACAACAGGTTCTTTCCAGTTCTGGATTTGCAAATGCTTAAGTTGAGCTCAGCTTAGGTTTTGTTGATTAATTTTGTCCTTTGAAGGTTCTCTCATCTGAACTGTAGATTTTTGGCAGTCTAAATCTCATTTCTCAAATTATGTTTTGCCAGCTAATGCTAATTTAATAATAGGCTAAATTTGAAAATAATTTGTCTACATTTACAGCATTTCTTTTAGATTATGTACTTCATTTGACTTTCTCAAACACAAGAAACTAGCTAACTTTGATTTCAAACTGTTTTTATCCAGTTTAACACAATCTATCCCAACAGAGGAAACAAGCTGAAATACCTCTCTGCAGAAGTTTGAATTGTTTTGTTTTATCAGGGAAATTTTAGAGGACTGTTCTTTCTTTTCAACATAGATTTCAGGATATATCTGGAATATTACCCTAAGAGAAAAAAAAATGAAGGAAAAAAAGAAGTAGGTAGATTAAGCATGATAACACAAAAATAAAAACAACAACAAAAGCTAATGCAAGGATATTTGACACTGTAATGTATCCTACACTGAAACTAGAGAAACTCTACAGAATAAGAAATACTTTGGAGGGAGGAATGAACACTCAAGTTCTTAAAGCATTACCTCTATATCCACTGTTAGAATCATAGACGTACTATTTTAGATACTCTATAAACACACGTGAAGACAAAACACCCTGCACGGAAATCTTACAATCTTAAAAAAGCCAGCAGAAAGTTCCAAACCAGCCACAGTACCATCATCAAAGAAAAAGGAAAGGCACTTGGGATGGGGTATATAAACAAAGTATTATTTTAAGCTCTTGACTACCTTTGATCCAACAAACTCAGAGCTATAAAGGTAGATGGGGGATATACAACAATGGTTATGTTAATGTCAGAACAGTTTAATAAACACCTTTTTCACCATCAGCCTAAGTATAAGCAACTTTTACTGGTTATTTTTAACCTTTCTCCAAAGCAGTTCACAAACTGACCAACTCCACAAACAATTCCAACAGCCCAGCTGAAGGGATATGGGCCACTACTGTGTCAGTAGACATTTATCAAACTAATGCCTGAAAGGCATCTTTAAAGAAGTTAATATGAACCTCTACAGGACGTTTCCATATGAGAATGGAGAATAAATAAAGCCTGCTGGGAATGGGGAGAGATGATTACATCCTCCCACTGAAGATATAATTTTAAAGATTTGTGTTCAGCCCCTCAGGAAACAGGTCCATACGGAAAGCTGGAGGTGACACACCTCTGAAATCTGCTGGAATCCTTAGACACAGTAAGGTCACAGCGGCTGGTGAATGACTCCCTGAAAACAAAGCAACATAGTTACTACTGTCTGCAGAACATCCTCTGCTCCTAACAACTTTGTTCATTCCAGGCACTGAGCGAGTGGTGCGTGCTTTTACTTTCTGTTGCAATGGCAAGTTAAACCATGCCTAAAGCAAAAGGCCATCTTGAAGTTACTATTCTCACCTTTCAGGATTTGCAGAGTCATGATTATTTATATTTTGGGGGAGAAAAATTTCAAATATGTGCAAAGCCAGTATCAAAGCAGGGATTTGTTCAATTAGATCCATGCACAGAGTGATAATACCAGCTATACCATAAGCAAATAGGACATCAATCCTCCTCTTGGATAAGCCCACTGCATCTCTGTAGGGTTGTCCAACACAAATCCATTTGCAAGAATAAAACCAAAAAGTATATAGAGCAAGGCAAGAAAGCGTATTTTAAATAATTCATTACACGCCATTTTACTCAAATCTTTCTCTCATCAAAAGGCTGAGGTTATATTCAGAGCAAGATGCACTTGAACTCAAGTTTGTGCCATCTTTCCCTTAGAACATCCAGGAATACTTAAATGACAGGCATTAAGAAGAAACCTTTTGGTCTTTATAATATGTGGAAAATCATTGTAAGTACGACAAAAGTCTGAACCAACAAGTTCGGTGGCCATTCCAACATGATAAAACGTTGTAAGAAAATTAAAAATGTTTAGCTGTAACAAAATATTTTACGGCTAAGCCTCTCACCCCCTCCCAGTCAAACATTTTTACCATTTGCGCGCCCCAGCTAAAGAAGCACGAGTACCCTTCCTATTCCCGCTGCTGGGAATCTCTCTGAAAGCCCTATAATGCGCCAGCGTCACAACGCTCTGGCCAACAACTATTTCTTGTCCCCCCTCAACCCCAGCCCGAAAGTTCAGCGGCCAGCACGGCACAAACAAAGCGCAGGCAGCGGGGCGGCCAGGCCACGCCGAGCTCCGCCGCTCGGCAGCGCCGGCTGGCGCGGGCACCGGCCGCCGCAGGGCACGGGGCCGCCACAAAGCCCCGGGGGCCGGGCGCGGGCCGGCCGGGGAACGGGCCGTGCCCCGCGGGATGCCCTGCCCCTTCCTCCCTCTCCCTGCCCCGGCGGCCCCGGCCGCGCACGCCCTGCTGCCCGGGCGCGATCGGCACCGCGGCGGGAGGCAGCGGCAGGGCCGGGTCGGGGCGGGGCGGGGCAGGGCGCGGCGCGGTGCCGGTCAGTGGGTGCCGGTGGCCCGGCGGCGTTCCGGGTGCTGGGCCGACTCGCCGCGACAATAAACATCCCCCAGCGCCGCGGGCATAGACGCGGCGCGGCTAGAGCGGCCGCCGGAAGTGGCGGCGGCGGGAGGGAGGGAGGGAGGAGGGGACGGAGGGGGCCGCGCTTGCGGCGCTTCCGCTGTCGTCCGCCGCCCCCGGAGCCGCGGTGCGCCCCGGGACGGCCCCGCCGTGAGCGGCTCCGCGCGGCTCACAGAGCGCGGCACGGCGGAAGGGACCGCGGTGGGTCATCTGGTCCGACCTCCCTGCTCAAGCAGGGTCGTCCCAGAGCACAGGGCACAGAACTGTGTCCGGACGGTTCTTGAGTATCTCCGGTGAGGGAGACTGCACACAGCCTCTCTGGACAATCTGTTCCAGTGCGCGATCAGCCGCACAGTAAAGAAGTTCTTCCTCACGTTCAGCTGGAACTTCCTGTGCATCAGTTTCTGCCATTGTCTCGTGTCCTAAAGCTTGTAGAACTGATAAAAGGCTCCGGCTCGACCACGTCCGAGGCAGCGCCTTTGCCAGCGGAGCCGCTGGAGAGCTGATGCAGTTTTCGGCTCAGACTCTGTGAACACGCACCAGACATTGCTGTGGGCCGTGGCCCCAGGCATTGCTGTGGGCCTTGGCCCCTCCTCAGCTTGCCACAGCCCCCTGGTCTCTGGCCTGGGCGCTGCCCACACTCTGAGTGACCCGAGCGGTCAGCCTTGGCCCGACGGGAGCCAGCAGGGCTCGCTGCAGCGATTGCTGCTCTGTACATGCATGTTGCACTGCAGCAGGAGTCTGGTCACTGCATGGTGCACACTTAGGGGAACAGAACAGACAGAATGGGACATGTGGACACAGTGTGCGTGCCTAGATAGCACTGGTTCTCTCTCCAGGACAGTGCTCTAAACCTGGCACTGTCCCACCTGTGCTGTCTGTAGGGAGTAGAGCCTGTCATGAGCTACCTTTCAGCTACACTTACATTTTCTCTTGGAAAAGCTGTTGTGCTTCACATGGGAGCCCAGGAATGTGCCTGCAAGGTGGCCCATTAAGGACTCACCACCCAGGCTGAGGAATGAAACAGATGTCAAGTTGACTTCAAGTTTAGAAAGAATATTGGTCTTCATATGAAAATTACATAATTGTATATTTATATGGGTGTACTGCAGAGTATTCACTGAATTGAAAATTTTCTGAAACTGAGATTCTGTAATTATGTACTTCGCTTATATGATGTGGTAGGAAAATAGCTTTAATTAGGATAGAAGGAAGGAACACTATGAAATTAAAATTTTGAATTCTTTAGAGTTGGCGTGTTTTCTTCTGCTAGATTCAGTTTAATCCTTGAAATGCATGACTAGGTTCGCTTGTCAAAAATAGGGATTTCAAGTTCTCCGAATCGGCTGCGAGGACATGCTTTGTCTCTCCCACTCCGGCGTGGGGTAGCGCTGCCACCCTGTGGCTTCCTACAGACACCGATCCCCGCCTTCGGGTGAACACAGGCGAGCCAGGCATGGCTTTGGAAACCAGGACTCTGATTTACCATAGTTCAGATACTCTGCACGGGATCGCCAGCATTTTTACAGAGTGCCTTAAGGCTGGTTTTGTTCTTTATGGGCTTCAGGCTCTGAGTCATTACAATCACACAGCCAAAGTGGGGTAGAGTGGTGTGATGTCTTCGCTCTGACAGTTCTTTCAGCTCTGGATGGCTGTATCACAACAGATGCTGATTTTTTTTTTTTTTCTGAATAGCTGATCACATCGGCAAGTTATGAAGGAAATCTTTATAAACCCTGATTTTGCTTGAATTTTGATTAAGCTTATGTTTTTTTCAGCATAACCTTAAAGGTCTGGAGAAATTCAAAACAAAATGTCTGCAAGCACACACTACCACGGCCTGTCTCCACATGCCTGCTCTTTTCAGATAACTTTTTCTAGCACATACTCCTCAGAATAGTGCAGTCATTCCTGGATGTTGGGAAAATTATTTTTGCTGATGAAGAGATGAACCCTTATCATTTCAAAGTTTTGACTGCTTTGTCAGCCTGAGCTTTTCCTGTTTAGACTAGGACATGTTTTGAAGATTGCATCTTTAGATATATATTTGGCAAATGTGCAAATATAAGCAAGTAGCTATGATCACATAAACGTGGAATGCAAATAAGGTGATTTGACACCTGACTTGTAAGTTTATTGGTTGTGCTGCAATTTTATTCTATACCTATATAGTTTACAAAATTGGTTGTCTTCTCCTTGCCTTCTCCTCTTCCTGGTGTCCATTCTTCCATGCAACTCTAACTTGGCTGCATGGCTGCCTTCACTAGTATGACTGAGATGCCAAGGATGTGGATCTTCTTGAGGTTCTACCTTACCTGATGCTGTTTGATGTCAGACAGAGAAGGCACAGAGGCCATTTCTGTCACTTCTTACTACATGGTTTAGTTCTCCTATGCCTTTATTTTGCAATCTCTTGTTTGGAAAATGAACAGGAGATGGAGATGTGGGGAGGGTGTTTCCTGTGCTTGGACAGTCTGCAGCATGGAATTGTGGGCTGCTTGGGACTATCAGTAAGAGGGCAGTAAAACCAAGGTAACTGAACTTTAGGACACTGCACATGTTTTTTGTTCAGTAATTACAGCAGTGAGGCTGAATGAAGATGCATTTTCATTATGTTGTCGTTCAGCTGTAGCTTCAGGTTCCTGTAAAAGGAAATCACTCTTCAGACTGAGGCAAATGCTTCATTATCT